GGAAGAACTAACATAATTTAGTTAATTTTTTTTAATCGAGTAATCTTGACACTATATTTAGGCATTGTACTCTGGACAAACATGTGTAGCACCATCGTTGTTTTCACTCAAACGTGAATGCGTAACCGTGACAACTTAATGTTGTCCGGAAGCGCCGAGAAACAACAACCAAAAAGCGTAGGCACAACAGTAGAGAATACGCCGCACATTTTGCTGAGCACATTAGTTCTATCTGTGTGTTCCTAGTTATTGTATCGACTTGAGAACCAACAGAATTAGCTACATTTCCTTTAGTTGACCCTTCAGCAATATATCTTGCTTTTTTCAACCGCGTCTCTATTTTCTAGTTTTATGTTAACCACCGCCTGTTACCCAATTTGCTAAAAAACGAGAAATTTACCATGTTACTCTTTAAAGTGAAGTAATTTCTTTATTGAAACTGGGTAATAGCCTACGCTATATACCTAGTTACTAGCACCGAGCAGTAAATGAAGGTACCTCGTTGTTTTTTTTTTTGTTTTTTTTTTGTGAAGCGCAGAGATGTTAGGTTGCTCATCCGAACTCTGAAGTATCGCGAGCTTGAAACGAGGGTATAGGAGGCTGCGATTCACGGACACAAAAAACAGACAAAAGGTTTTCGCTTTTTGTTTTTTCTTCTCAACATTGGCGATAAAGCTTTTTTTTTTTTTTTGCATCGCGTCTTTATTTTAGGTGAAAACACGATTATATTTACATTTGCTGCGGTTTCGTGCCAAGGTTTCCGATGTTAAGCTCGCTGCAGCCCACCTGCGTTTTAAATCGTTCTTATTTTTCAGATGTCATTCATTTATTGCGCAAGTAGTGCTGTGGTGAAGGGCTGGGCTGATTAATTCAAACATTTTAATACATTACTCTGAGGAGTTGCTAAAATAATGCCTCCAAATGTTTTTCTTGAGCAATAAGTAGGCCGAACCACTTTTAACAGCCAGAGCTACGCTGAGTATTATTTTTCGTTTGGAATAGCATATCCCTTCTTTCATTTTCTTTTTGCGGTCGCGCGCTGTTTCGATTCCGAGCGGGCGGAATTCCAATCTCCCCAGAAGGTGTCATTTGTATTTCACCGAGGAAACGTGCCCCCGCTTTTCTCTACGTTAACGCATTACCTCTTGTCATTAACTTGTCACGGTTACGCATGTATCTAGTCAGGCGCGTAGAAACTGGGACAGATCGGAATTAAGTTAGGGCTAATTAGCTATCGGAGGTATTCACGGGGCGCCGTATCGTTGAAAATTGTTATCAATGGGTGCTGGGAACTATGCCCATTTATCGTCAGCGAAGAACAACTATCTTGATTGGGAGGAATGCACGGTTATGCGCGTTTAGCGAGCATTGCGACCCAATCGGGATCTTTGATCTAGGAAGGCAACAAGCGTGAGCTAGTTCGGAGCCTGCGCTGCAAACAACGACCAGCAATATGGCGTCTGGTGTATACCCCTATACAAACCTGCCCAATTTTCGACCAGCTGCCATTGTTGTTTTAATGCTGTGCATGTAGCTTTTGCAGCGCCCATTTTGCATGGCTGAATTTGTCTTTCATCGCAAGAACGAGTAGTGCGAGGAGTTTCGCGTGCGGGCTTTGTGTGCTGCACAGTTGGCCGGCACTATAGGGGTGGGCGGTCTGGGCGGCCGCCCAGGGCGCTGCCAAAAGGGGGGCGTCACCGCGTCCATCAGTTTTAATTCCGCTTTAGTTGTTGGGTTTATTTTGAACATTGCTCGTTTTTGGAATGCGGCTGTGGTGCTGGGCCACAACTCACATGTTTACTGACAACCTGATGTCCTACCTAGTAGATAGGGGCGTACAAAAAAGGGCCGGGGGGGGGGGGGGGGGGGGGGTGCCCTGTCCAGGGTTCGCCCAGGGTGCCATGATGCTGTGGGGCTGGTCCTGATTGCACCGCGCACTGTTGTTCCGTTAGGTTACGGCTTTCCCTTGCTCGTGAGAATGACCAACGCTTACGATTTAATTGAAATATGTAATTATTATGCTTCCTGTTTCTTTAGTCAGAACAGCTGACATATTTGTGCACATTACCTTTTTCCTAAAAATTACAATGAATAACTTGCTTTTTTTCTGTTAGAGATAGTCGGACTGACAGGACACTTAGAACACTGACTAATGCAACCTCACTTTAATTCTTTATACAAATGAACCACGATACAAAAATTTAAGTATTTAATATTTTTTTAATCTTATTATATGTATAACATGCTTCTTTACCATAATTCTGATGGAATCATCGGGTCAACTTTTAATTAAAAAGTACGCAATGTTCCCTCATTAGTGGAAGGATAAGGCAGCTAGTACAACGGAAGCAGCAGAACATTGCAGAACTTTCATTTCATTTATTATCCCTTAAAGGCCCCGCCAGGGGCATTACATAAGGGGGGGGGGCAATACAAACAAACACAGAAGTAGAACTTTTATACAATATAAACAAAAACAAAACATAGAAACAAGATGCGGCTGAGCACTGGCCATAGGTAGGAGCATCGCACTGATTACATATTAAATATAGACGATACAGCATCTCTGAAGAGGTCGGGGTCACTGATGAGCACTACATGGTCCGGTAGATTGTTCCACTCTATTATGGCAAGGGGAAGAAATGAGTTGTTAAAGGTGACAGTGGAACTATGGAACCACTAAGGGAGTTAAAAAGTCGTCGGGATGAACGATGCGGTTCTAACAGTAGAGACTGTCTGAGTAGAGGGTGGTAATTAATAATGTTCTGAAAAAGACAGACGCGTGATATTCTTCGACGAGAAATGAGAGTGGGGAGGCACAAGGAAGGCCTTCATGGCCGACACACTGGCGGTGAGTTCATAATTAGAAAGGATGAATGGGGCAGCACGATTCTGAATAGATTCTAAGGCGTTAGTGAGCTAAATCTGGTGTGGGTACCAAATGGCAGCAGCATACTCAATCTTCGGACGCACAAAAGTTTCGTAGGCCAGCTGGCGCAAAGCTGGAGGGGCTGAGTGCAGACAACGTCGAATGTAACCAAGCGTTCTGGAAGCTTCGGCATGTATGGTAAAGTAATGACTAGTATTCTAGAAGTCATAGCTTGACGTATAAAATGCGGTAACCAATGCATGAAGAAAACATATGCTCACTCAACCGCCATGTAACATTTTTACTCTTTTTTGCATTGCTGAAAGACCTTCATAGAAAGGTCACGTTTTGAAACTGAAATGACAACGCAGGGCTAAATAGCTTACCATGATTTTTTTAAACCGAGACTGGGGCAGAAGGAGGAAAATGTTTTACAGTGGTAGAAAGAACAAATACGGGCATGCACGTGTCTATAAGGGCGTGTTTGTCCCTGTTTCTTCTTCTACTACTGTAAAAAGTTTTCGTCCTCCTGGTCCAGTCTCGGGTTAAACTCATCATGCTAAACTTCCGCCAGCTCGCCTTTGCACTGACTCTGTCTAAATATATAGCTTCTCCGGTTCTAATTATATTAAACACGTAAATTATTATTACTGTGAAAAGTTAACTAGCGTCCCTTGTGCGTCATCTTTACAATCTCGACCTTTTTGCAAGGACAATCTTCTCAACTTCCGATATTGGCTCCCAACAAACCCGCCTTTTTTTTTTTTTTAATGATCCAACGGTTTTATTGCGTTTTGTTGAAGAAATCGCACGCACGAGCGTCGGGAAATCGACACCTTGGAGAGTATCGGCGAGCGTGTGCGGTCGAATCGTTAAGCCGTGATGGAGATGTCGCCCCCGGACGTCGCTGCTCCAGTAATCAGCGACATCGTGTAGACGCCCACGGATATTTGTGCATGTGGGAAGCGAACGCCTCAGAATGAGGCTGGGGTAAGGACTACCAGGAAGTCGTCGCAGAGAGTCAAGCAGAGGAAGGCTAGGTTCTCTGCGCTGATTTTGAACCCAGTGAACAAACTGAGCCACAGGTTTTATAATCGGGGGTCACCGGTAAAATGTATATGCGTAATACAGGGGAATTATGCCTTAGAAGCCAGTCCTCGAATCGTTCAGTTAATAGTATAGGTGGGAGGCCCAACGATTGTGAGATACTATTCCCCATTAATATTAATTTTTGGGTTGTTTGCTCGAGGCATTTCTGGTGCTATTTCTGAAGCTGAAGAAAGGGCCAAGCTAATTATCGGTTGGCTGGGTCTTGCGAAACGCTTCACTTTGTACTGCTTATGTTATTGACTATAAGAATACCGTGATTATGTCAATATGATAATTCTGCGTTTTGGGTTTTACTTTTGTTTCTAATAAATGAGAGGAAGAAAGAAAGGAAAATGGGACTAAGTAATCTTCTCTTCATGACAGGACATGTGCAATGTTGACATGTTCAGCGCACTTGCACCATTTGTAACGGTTATGCAGCCATTGCAAAAGAGACGCGGCTTGTTGAGAGAGCCACGTCCACACTAGTAAGTTCGAGACATTGGGGTGAACCCATAATGCCATTTATATTTACCAATTCCTTCTGAAAAATAGCGATGGACACTGAAAAAGTGCCTATATGATCAAAACACGGCTTTGGGTTTCCGTTACGTATGTGCTGTCTCTATAAAACTTGCTTGAGATTTTTGTGAAGCCTATTTTTTCAGAGTTGCTGGTTCAATAGATTGACCTCGTAACTTGCACTCGTTTTTTTTTTTAATTTAACTTTACGGCTGTTGAAAAGAAGAATATGTTGGTTTTAATCTTTGACGTGAGCTCCTATAAAAATATGCTTACTCGTATTTTGTACTAAATAAGAATTCTGTCGACACAAGAAAAAAAAGATACCAAGTTATAGCCACAGGGCACCATTGAAACCAGTATCGCAATGACTGATTTGTGAGCAACATATTTCCCATCTTAATACACAGTTCTTTGGCAACCATATGTTCCCTTTGCTAGCACCGGTTTCCGCCCTATGGGGCTCAAGAGTTGCCCTGTATCAGGGGACAGCCTCTGCCCTTCCGTCATCGAGTCTAACATGACTGCCCGCATGATGCCGATTTCGGTGAGGTACTGCGGCACTTCGACGCTCGTTTAGATCAGGAGAATGCGACTGATCTTCGCTCTTCCGACAATTCGCTCGACAGAAGCAACTATACATGGCTCGTAATGATGTCACGTCAGCGGTCGTGCCGCAGCACACATTTCGCAGAAATGCATTTGTTTTTCTAAACAAGGACAAGTAGGAATGATCCAGAATGACCGTTAGCGCAGCGTGAAGACGTCAAGTGCATGTCATGTATAAAAAATAAGGCAGGGGAATCGTATCCTTGTATTTTTTTATATATATTCGCGAGTTATAGTACTAAAATCTGGCTCCCAAAGATTGTTGACAAAGAAAGAAAAAAAACCGAGTGCTCGATGATACGCTTCGTTTATTAGCATTAGGGAGATTTAGTAGATCGTCCCGATAACTCCGATACCGATACCCTTACTCTTCTGGCCCACTTTCCCGTGCACCTTATTGTAATGAAAAAAACTTGAATGGTTTCCTTTTTTGCTTAATTAAATCGCTTTGATAAAAATATATCTGTCTATTCAGAAAAGTCTAGAAAACCTCTTTTGCAACTCAAGGCTTAAAATGCAAGCCTTTCACCCTTGTTCGTGTTAGACTGGTGGCAGCTGGTAATACCGGTTCGCTCTCCAGACATGTAATTCTTGGTTAGCTCACTTGGTAGAGCGCTCCACTTGAAATGGGGCTACCCAGACCAGGAGGAATGTTTCGGCCGCGCAACAGTCACCTAGCTGGGTTTAGAGATTTGTGTTAGTCCTTTGTCCCCTTGTTCCCCTTCTCGAGGGATTATTTTCGACAATAGACAATCGGACAATAAGCTTTTTGGGGAAGTATACTCCTATCTCTGGTGACTTCATCTGCCGTCCTCTTCGATCACACCTCCAGCGGGTGCTGCGACCACAGCACAACAAGACAGACAGGAATCCACACAAAGGCGGGCGAGCCAAAATCCTCCACGGCCATAAGGGGTCGCAAGTTTATGAGTTAGCGGGCGGAAGACTCCACAGCCAAAGGTGGTCGGACGTGCAGGTTGGCCTCCACTGCCACAGTGACGATCAAAAGCTTAGCGGTGGCTTATATTGACTTTAGCAGTATTCAGGGGCAATCTAGGCAACCAATTATTTCTTAGCACCAATGGAAGGGCTCGTACTACAAAGCAAACTTGGGCATCCCAAAATCAAAAGCGCATGCAAGAAAATAAACATCGAACAAAGTTCTCAAAAGTGGCTATAAAAACTGCGAAAGACATTCAAAGCCAGGATCACAAGATGGATGCAGGAAAAAACTAAAACTAGCCCCCAAGTGGAGATCTCAAAAGCAGACATGTACAAGACAAAACTCCGACGTGGGTCTCTTTAATAAGTGCACCGTTACAGCGTTCACGTTCGCCGGGGCCTCCCGACTCTCACCCCCATTTGGCGCCTCCAGACTGCAGTAGAAACCATCCGCCGTGCCGTAAAGACGATTATCATCGGCCAAAGAAACCCTCGCAAACCCACGAGAAAAAAATGCAAAGAAGTTTAATTAAACACGCGCGCAAGCACGGCTTCGCGACACTATTATTATCGGGTATCGTTTTCGGAGGTAATGGAACAATCTGCTAACTCCCGGAGTATTAATAAATTCTAATAATGACTGATAACTCTAAGATACCGGTCAATCTTCGGGGAAATATTTTCGAAAGACGAAATTAGTCATTTCATTTACGGATGAGAGATTGAGAGATTTCCTGGTCGGCCTTTCAGAGAGGAAACATTTATAGCGCTTCACCACTGGAGAGCCAAATAACCTTGGACGCCTCTTGTGCGTATGTAGGCTTCAACGCTTCAGGCACAGGTGCAGTCGGGGTAGTTGTCGTATATAGATGCGACGAACTTCGGAAGTATCTTCCTCTTGGTAACGAAGGTCGTAATTTATGAGAAAGCAGTTGCTCGTGTGTCTGACTTGTATAACAAGATTACAGCGTTTACTTTATAGCGCGACGCTTAATTTATGTCCCTGCCCTAAACGACTAGTTTTACTTCATCCTTCGGATCTCGCGGTGCGCCTCCTTTTCATCACGACAAGATTTACGGCGTTCCTCATTCATTTAGCGAAGGCGGTACGGGGCCCAGCTTGGAGAAAAATTTGGTAGGTTTAGAAAACTGCCCCGGCTCGCCGAAGAGAGATTCGATGAACCTTTACGACGTTTGGAACAAAGCCAGTATGACGTCTCAAAGAACCTGTCTTCTTGTCAGTAGAGACAGCAATCCTCGACATTCACGTCCGCGCAAGCGGCGTTTGACTGCCGTCAGAAAGGCTCCCGAGAGAAGTTACAAAGGCAAGACAGTTTTCATAGCAAATAATAAAATGAGGCTGACCGGGTAGAACACGAACTTACTCGAGATATAAATTGACGTGTGGATGGAGCGATGCAAGTTTGACAGGCAAATTTACGTTAAATTGTTTTCCCAATCTTGAAACTCTTCTTTACGTGCAGTACAGTATTCCCCGGTAAAATATAATACAAAAACAATTTGAACATATGATAGGGAATGAAACTGGCGCGACAGAGATAAATAACACTTCAATCGTGTCTGAACTTTGCAGGGAATGTGTTTGGGTACGTGTTCATTCTTGGTACTGTCGAACAAAATATTTGATGGGGCTTTACAGGAATTTTGTGTCGAAGTGACAGCCCATCGACAACTAATGATTCGAAAACGTTTGAAGTTTCTTTGAATAAATTGATAGGGGCGGATTCGAAGGTCAACCTTACTCTTTCCTTTCAGAAGCTCCTTGATGGGCACTATAGCACGCCATGCGATCAAAGCACCAGCAGACGTATGCAGCAGACGTCACCATACCCTGTTGCAAGTTAAGAAAACCAGGGCAAGCTCCTCTTGCTATGCTCTTAACCCTTTCCCCCTTTAACAGAGCGAACGCCGGAGAGGAGTGTTGAGAGGAGGCGAGACGAGGCGAGGAGGAACTAGCCTCCTTTCCGGCGTTTGCTCCACTAAGTGGAAAGGGGGAAGGGCGTCGAAGGAGGAGCTTGTCACCGCCGACTAAATACGTAATCGACAAAAACGATAGCACAGCGGGAGGTACTCTAAGTATTCGTATTTACCACCCGTGTCCCGAGCGCCTTAAGGCCAGAGTCGCTTATGTAGAGAGTGTGGTCATAAATTGGAAAGAATAAGGACACATCATTGACTGAAATTGTTAAATAAGCTTGGGCGCGTTAATTGATAGCTCTTCTGACCAACCACTTAGCCGCGAATATTTCCGTAGTGGAAGCAGTGAGCTTAACTTATATCGTCCAATCACAATTTCTAGGTAAGGATGTAATTTCGTATTTCATTTCAGCACACTAGAGTTGAAGGTTGCGACCCTCTGTAACTGAAAGGGCATGCAACGCGCGTGACGTTGTCGTTACGGCGACGTTCAGAATGCACTCTATCTTTCTCTTGATTGCAGTCGCACCCGCGGCCACGACCGAGTGGAGGGTAAGAACCGTGGACACTGCTCCGTGAGAATTTTGACCATAACAGAGAACGCGCACCCCATATTAACCTATGACTTCGGAGCACGTAGCACTTGAGACATAGAGACGGGGCTCGCAGTCGCGTCCCAGAGTGTCGCGGGCCGCGCGTTTGGGACCCCTGTTATGGATATAGTACGTACATTTGATCTCGAAAATATTGCGACACCTTCACTCTAGTGAAATGCAGTTCCAGGACCACCTCATAAATAACGCAAGCGCTCACTCTTTTCGTGAGAGATCCCAAGAGCTCGGTTCTGAGCAAACGCAAGTGTAAGAACGGGCCCCCTTTAGAATGTGATTTACAAATCGTAGTGAAGGATGAGGGCTAGTTTAGCCGCTGTTTAGCGGGTGGCTAGCGCTCAGCGCCGTGTCCTACTCCCATCACCGCCAATCGTCATCTTGAACGAAGCAAATATTGCCTCATAACGCCGATGGACAACTCCAGCAGGAAATGTAGCAACAGACTCTAAGAAATGCCTGCGCGTCTACTCACCAGCAAAACACTCGAAGAGCCAATCTCAGGGATTTACGAAAACAGCTTCAGCGAATGATGAGGTGGAACATTTGTTTAGACCTAAGAATGAAGTCCGCGCTGTGGCATTACGCAATGCAACGCGTCATGCTTGCAATGCGTAATTCCAGGGCGCACACTTCATTTTGAGGTCTAAGCAGATGTTCCGCCTCATCATTCGTTGAGCCGATTTCGTGAGATCGGAGAGATTGGCTCTTCGAGTGTTTTGCGAGTATGTAGACGCGTAGGGCATTTCTTAGAGTGCAAATGTTCTGGGTATCACCTTGTTTAGAGGACAGAGCTGCCGCTAAAATGATCTCAACTGAACGACGAGAGAGGCCGCAATTTAAGAGTACTTCCATCTTCATTACGTCGCTTACAATCCGGCTTTCTTCATGTCGCCTTTCGATGTTCAATTTTTCCTTTAATAAGATCTGTGTGCAACAAATTCATAGAGCTGTAACGTTTCCTTTTATCTAATTAATGTCAACGTTTTAGGCGATATACGTTTCTTTCACGTAGTAGCATTTTCTGAGTACACGCAGGCGTAACCTTTATTTTCCAGTCACTGTTCGCTTGTTACTCCTGAGCAGTAACCCACTTGCGGCGATTAAGTTTTCTCCCAGGAATACTGCCTGTCCTAGCCGTTCTTTCCTCGCTGGTTAGTCACGCCTGGTGAATACGGCTGCAGTTGTTGGTATTCCATTAATTAGTTCACACTACGAGAAAGTTGTTCAGCCATTCGTCACGCGGTCACAGCGGCAAAACTTCTCTTGCCTTGGAGACTGATCGTTGGTGTATGCTGTGCCATTTATCATTCTGTTTGGTTAATCCAATTAAAGGAATACCGATGATTTATGTTTGGCGCAGTGTTGTACGGAACGGCGTTCCAAGGAACTGCGTTCCTGGAACGCGTTCCTTTTAGGAGGAACGAAGGAACGCCGCCGTTCCATTTTGCATCGGTGGAAGTGGAACGAGAACTCGTTACAATTTTACTAGAACGGAAAAGGGAACGGCGTTTCTTTTTTTCGTTCAGTGGAGTAATTTTTATTTTATTTCCAAGAGGGAAATGCTAAAAGTATGAAAACAATATTTTTACGAAGAGCAGGGTCTCGTGAACTGTTTGGTTACTTATCTTAGGGTTTATTCCTTTTATCTTAGGGTTTAGTCCTTTGGTTACTTATCTTAGGCTGCAACACTCCTCCCCGTCGCAACACTCCGGGGAGGAGTGTTGCGACGAGGCGAGGAGGGACTCGCCTCCTCTCCGATGTTTGATCCACCAAGTGGAAAAGGTGAAGGGCTTTGAGGGAAGGGAGCTTGTCACCACCGATTGATTACGTCGTCGACCAACATGATCACTTAGCGAGAGGTACTGTAAGCAGTCGGTATTTACCACCCGTGCCCCGAGCGCCCCAAGGCCAGAGCCGTATATGGGGATTGTGCGGTCATTAATTGGTAAGAATAAAGACGCGTCACTGACCGTAATTGTTTCGATGACCTTTGGCGCGTTGATTGATAGCTTTTGCGTTTCGAGAGCATTGTGGGGAAGCGTACGCTCAGGGACTTCTGAGAGCGTATATACAATTATATCTAAAATACTACATGAATATACTGCACTCGACACTGATCTAAACAAAGAATCATCATTAATTCTACGGTACCTTATAAACTGTACTGTATCCGCAGTTTTACTTATCGAGTTTATTGGATAATCACGTTCAGCTCACAGTTTCTCCGATTTTCTTTTGGTTTAGGTACCTCACGCTCTTCCTATTCTTCCTCACGGCAACATTCCAAGCGGGAGCGTCAGAAGCCGAGGACCTCGTGCCCAACCTCTGCAATCTCATCGACCAAGCGCTATACTGCCGCTGCGACACGGACGATATCACTGATGACGCGACCGAAGTGACTTGCTACGTGGTGAAAGACACCGCCCAAGACGACATCGTCTTCAAAGCCTTCGCGAAGCAGCCGTCCATCGTCTCGATCGTGTTCAGTTCGCTCAGTGAGGACCATCACTTAAAGTTTGTTCCTTCCGACGTCCTGCCACATGCTCCGGTCTTGGAGCGTCTTAAGTTCTCCCAGGCGGAGTTGGGTGTTTTGAAGACACACGCCTTCTACAACCTGACGAAACTGGCAGTGCTGTCCCTCGACTCCAACGAGATAACGGAACTGGAGACGGACTGCATCTCGCATCTGCCTCGCCTCAAGAAGCTGGAACTGGCGGACAACAAGCTAAAGAAGATGCCTGCGCGAGCCTTGTCTCACCTACCATCTCTGACGCACTTGTTCCTGGAGCGGAACAAGATGACGGTCATAGAGGACTTTGCCTTCGCGGGCCTCGGCAAGGTTAAAGAGCTAGACCTCAGCGACAACTCCATCGAGGCCCTCACCGAGCACAGCTTTAAGGGGCTGTCGCGGGTACTCAGGCTCGACATGTTTCGAAACAAGCTGAAGAGGCTGGAAACCCGGGTCTTCGGCGGCTTGTCGTCCCTGGTGGAGCTCGATCTCAAGTACAACGAGATCTCCGAGGTCGATCCGCTGGCCTTCGACGGTCTGCCGCACCTGACCATCGTGTACCTCTCGTTCAACCGGCTCCGCGTCCTGCCGGCGCACATGTTCATGGGAGCTCCCAACCTTGTGACCGTGGATCTGTCGCAGAACCAGCTGGTAACGCTTACCTGGAGGACTGTCCAGGACTTGAGGAAGATTGACGCCGAGTCCTTCGACATGAGCCTCACTGGTCAGTGTTTTTGTTTTGTTTTGTTTAGATATTGTGCATAGATATTGCACCAGGGTATCTTCGCCACGTTCTTTCGAACACACTGCGCCGTCGTGCCAGTCGACGCTACGAGGTAATGGTGCCAATCAAGTAGCGTTAAAAGTGCAAGTCACTAGGCTTTTTCTGTTTATGATTGGTTAAAAAATTAGATAGCACGTAAAAAACGTGACGAACGCTATGATGGTCTCTTTAGAAGTTGTCTGAATGGTCCCATTTGCTCGTAGCGTCGGCTGCGTCGGGACGTAAGATGAAATGAAGTATAGTAAGAAGCACGGAGGAGTGCTCCACTTATCTAGACAATTTTAGTAGTCGAGTGCCATCAATCAAATACCTAATATTGAATTATTTCCGCTCAACAATAAAAGCAAAAAATGTAGAGAAGCAGACGTCGTCATTTTGATTCGTCTTCGGTGCACTTTCATAGCAGCAGAGTGCATTAGCTTACAAATGTAGAAAAAAAATCAGTATAGCTAAATTAAAATAAGCAGTAGATGTAGCGAAATATTTTAACAGAAATTGCATAAAATAATTTCTGGCATTTATTAATAAAAAGACACGAGGAAAACAATTTTGAATAAATAAAAGAGAACCCGTGTGGAGCGTTGAACCTTTAGTACCTAAAGACATGGCCTGCATATGACGTCCTTGTTCGGAAATCTTCTAGCTGCACCAAGCGGCAAGCCTGCTGAATCTATAGAGTCACCGCATGGCGGCAGGCGCGTCCGTCTTTGTGTCGCAGCGTGAAAGCGTCGCGCTTGTTGCGAGACGCTGCGAGACGCTCTGGCGGCGATGCTGATGGCAGCTAGGTGGCGCTGCGTGGATCATGACGTTCTGGGAGGAAGGGCGCAGGCCTTCTCTTCTATAGGTGGTATTAAAATTTGCTTCAATTCCCCAAGCACAACGGTTTCCGGTCGCGCAGGGAGCTTAAGGTGCTATACTCCGTTCATGACCAAGCTGAGACTGCAGTGGGAGCTACGTGCCCGCCGAACCAATCAGCCGCCTCCCTCTTATCACCTGACCGGGCTCTCTGCGCGTGGGTAAGGGCGGGAGCGTGATTATGTGCCGAAAGAGAGGCGTATGACTGGTCTAACGAGGACGTAGCCTCCACCGCAGTCTCAGCTTAGGCGTGAACGAAGTATGGTTGCCTCACGTGCTTCGTCCTGATAAGTCTAGCGGCTGAACCTGAGTTTTTTCGTGATACTTTTGCGGGGGGGAGGTGCGGGGGTGTGGGGGTGCGGTGCGGAGCGGAGGGGAAACGCTTAGGGGTATACACCAACTCATCTCTGTGACGTCACCGCGCGGTGGTGGCGCGTCGGTCGCACTTCGGGTCTGGGGCTGTGGGCAAAAGTCCCATGCCAGACGTGTATTCCTGCGTTGTTTTGATAGGAACTAGACAAAAACATGCCTTCTCCTCAAAATGCCGCGACTGGGCCCGTACCGAAAGTGTCGAGAAAGCTTTGAAGGTCAGTTTCCACGTGCTCGGTTCGTCAGAGAATCTGGATATGTGCCGTAAAAAGGGAAAAGCAGACGCCGTCGGACGACGATTGCTTGGGCGGGAAGCACTTTGGGTTGAATTCACGGATACTTGTGGTCATTAGATTTATTTGTTTTATTCCAACATAGACGCCAGAAAACCGTCAAGTTTTGCGGACCACCTGCGGACTACGTTCAGTGCGTCTTCAAGTTGAAACGGCCGCCTGATCGTTCGAGCTCTCGTCTGCTCTTTGAAACGTTTCTGCTTGTCGTCTGCTCTCTTAAACGACGCCGGCCCGTAGACCAAACGTTGCCCCAGTACTTGTGATAAGAAGTAAGCGCAGGCCTCAATAGACCTAAATTTTAAGGTTAGTAAGCAGGCTCAATGTAAACAGTAGATGCAAGGAGATATTGATCATTGTTACCAGTGACAATCATGGACTTGTTATCCCTAATTCACTTGGTCCGAATCTGCTTGCCATTTTCAGTATCGGCGTCGACCATCTCATCTACCGTTCACGCTTTTGCAGCCCGAGTGGCGTCGCGACTGAAAATTGCGAGCGAAATCGCATCATGCGAATCAGGCTTCAGCGTACATACTACGGCGTCCACGGGGAATGAATTGCCACATGTCAAATTATTCACGCGAAGTTTTGCGGTGTAACGAGCCGCGGTAATTTCGCTCATGCCGCTCAAGTAGTCAGACATCGCCAGGAAGACGTAGAATCAACAATTGGAACGCGAAAAATGAAGGGGGGACTCACACGGACGCCGACAACATCCCATTCCGATGGTTTGTTTATGGGCGACGGCGAGCTTCTTGCCCACACCCCCATCGCGCATGCGCGGCGCCGATGGCGTCCGCTAGGGGCGCTCCGGTTTGTTTGTAAACGTAAGTTGGTGTATACTCTACGTTAATAACTACCAGTTCTAATAAGAGTCGGAATCGATTCCCTTCCGATAGACGCTACAAACGTTTGGCAGGGGCCTAAGCAGGCAATTAGCCAGAGGGGAGGCCCATGGGGCGCGGGCCCCCCTCGAAATCTTCCATTTTGCAGGGACCTCCTCTTCCCCCTCTCCCTCATACAACATTTTGTCATGGTTGGGCCCCCCCCCCCCCCCCCCCCCCCCTAAACAAAATCCTGGCTACGTGCCTGGGCCTAAGCCAATGTAGGTGTGCTCTACTTAGTGGTACTGAGCCATGTACGAGTTACAAAACGTAACCGAGTGCCGTTTCTTATACTTTGTCATATAATCACAAATTGCGTGACTCTTTACGTACTTTGTTACTATAAAAGGAACTATCTCAAAAGTAAAGCGCTGCTTTTTTTTAATTTGGAGTAGCATGTGGTTGACGTAAAGTCGGGAAACACAGACACCATACGAGAGTAGAGCGAACTGCTTAAAGGTTAACCAAACAAAGTCCGATAATTTTCGTTTTGTTCTCAGTGTTATGGAGCGACAATTAGGTGAAGCGTTTGCACGAATTTGACGCTTATGGCACAATGTGCGGCGGTGTACTCGGAAACTTCGTAAACGTTGCCACCGTTTTTACAGCGATGCTGTACATCACTGACAGGCAGGATTTCTGGAAGTTTTTCGTGTCGTCGTAATCACGGAAAAGAAAATCTTCAGCGATTAAAGCGAAAAGAGCATATCACGCATACGAAATACAGCACAGCGTTCGTTTTGATAAGGTGCAAGCACAAAACAAGCGTCTGAACAAGATAGTTGATAATATTACGCTCCTGATAACAATGCGAACCACGCAGCGCTCACCGCATACGTTTCTAGGAAAATATTGCTGTTGCGGAAGCTGCCGCGGCGACGGCAGCACGTAAATTAAAATATTAATAAAAAAATATTTAAAAAAATTTGCAGACAAGTAAGTCAATCGTGTTTCTGGTTTTCTTTCCGCACAACAAAATTTAACGCAGATAGTTACTTGATTACCGAAGACGGAACAAGCTACAAGTAACGCGCTACGCTGGCTCTCGCTGTGTCTTCCAGATACAAGCCGAAGGTCAGGCATGAATCTTTGGGGTAGCGAGGACTCGGATAGGAATAGGTAGGAAGTATTTCCATATATAACTTCGACGCGGCGCCACGCAAATCAATTCTGTCTACTCGGCTTAACCGTCGCCGTCAGACGGCGATTAGCACGCCTTGGAGAGAGCTCTAAAAAATGGCATTTGGCGTTTCGTAAGAGAGGCTGAGAACAGCTTTGAAGGCGGATGTGCATCGCATTGCGAGTGACCTTGGACGCTCTTAAGGATGGGCTCGAATGAGCACAGTGCTCCCGAGTGAGCACATGGCACCTAATCTCCCGAAGCGAGAGACGACGCGAACGTCGTTTCAGATTACTGCCGGGCCGGACAACTTTCCTTGTTTTTCTAGCTGGAATTAGAGAAGCGACGGGTACTCCCGCGGTATAGTGGCTTCCTGAGAAATAATAGGAAAATAAATATTGAGAGGCGTGTTACACTCGCCTCGTCTTAACATGGACAAAGCGGAAAGGCTACAATGGCGAGTTCCATGCACTGTAACGCGCCTCGGCTGCAGGAGCCCTCACGCAGCGGGAGCACCAGTCAAAGCTACACTCTCGCGCTTGTAGCCTTTACGATTTGTCCATGTTCAGGTTAGACGAAGGATAGAGCTTTTCTGATTAACAGCTCTGGGTGTATTTTGGAATACACCAGTTCATGTTCCGCGCGTTATGCCAAGAGGGTGGCGCCGGCTGTAAAACCGAACATGGCCAGGTGCTTTGGTTCTCTGAAAGTGGGTTATTACGCAGGCGTCGCTCTACACTTTCCGTAGAGAAACGGGCTTATCTACAAAATATAATTTGGTGTATATGAGTGATGAAGCTGTTTCCCAGAAGGTGGGCACGTACTGGGAACGTGTACATAAAAGGTGGCAAGATAAGTCCAAGGGATTAAACTGTGCGAACACAAAATATAAATGCCAAAGAACAACACGTTCGAAACTTCGTTAAAAATGCAGGAATATTTTTTCTTTTAAATATCAAGGATGGATATTAAAACAAAACGAAATATTCGAATGTGTCCAGTCTCACTTGGAACTTTATTACAGAAACAGTCGTGTCGAGGTGTAGTGGACCTGGAGACATGATGCGTTTTATAGTGTGGAGTTTTATCTGTGCATAAGAAAATAAAATCTTCGATTTTTATTGGCATTAATTTGTTTCTCGGCGCGAGCACATTGGGTGAACGTAATAATGCCCAAGGAGAGCTTAAGGTATCATATTTGTTGTATATGATCCACAACATGTGTACATATTCTCTAGCTTGTGAATTGAACAAACCCCAGGCAACATGTTTATAATTTATAATTTCCTCGAATAAAGTTTCACGAAGAGCGATAGTTTTAGTTTGAAGAAGGGTAGACCGGAAGAGGCATTTTAAAACTAGTATGTCGTTATCTCATAAATTTAATACGAATATTTATCCCCGTGGATGTATACTCAA